TTTTTGGTGTGTGTGGGGGTGTGGGTAATGGTCAGAGCATACTAAAGAAGGAGAAGAAAGAGCCAGGCAGGGTGGAGAGAAAGATTAATTCATGTATCAGTCAATTATTCACTAGTAGAGGTGCTAAAGAGAGGAAATAACAGATGACACAAGGTCCCGGTAAAAGAACGAAAGATTCGAAAGAAAGTCCAAGAAGTTCAAAGTAATTTTACTATTTAATCCATTGTTTTTTACTTGGGCATGATTTTGTCCCCAAGGGGGTATTTGGCAATGTCTGGAGACATTTTTGGTAGTCTCAACTTGGAGAGTAGAAGGTGCTACTGGCATCTAGTGGGTAGAGACCAGGACCAGGGATACTGCTAAACATCCTACAGTGCACAAGACAGCCCCCCCATAACAAAAACTATCCAGCCCAAAATGTCAGCAGTGCCGAGGTTGAAAACCCTGACCTACATAGTTGAGTGGCACTTCAATACCTTTTGTAATCTCTGTAGCTTCTGAGAATCCTTGATATCACATCTAATCTTGGTTACTTCTGTCCCATACATCTGTATTCCTTTGTAGTACCTATTTTTAAATTCTTTTTTTTTTTTTTGTTCATTTTTCTTTCTAGTAAAACTTTAAGTATTTTTGGTTAGTTTTCTCCTGTATCACTCAACACACATTTATAGAGCATTTAATATGTTCAGTTTGGGTGATTGGGCAGGTGGTTCTTCCATTTTCTATGTATGGATATTATGAGAAGAAGCAAGTTTAGGAGGAAAGATTTGTAGGTCAGATTAGAAAATGTTATATTTTATGCACTGTTGGGTTATTATATTGAGATGAACAGTGGGTAACTGGCTGCTTGTATGTGCAGTTAAAGAAGAACAGTAGCATGGAGATAGAGATTTGGGAGTGTTTAGTATTCAGTTGGTCATGAAGGATGTGGAAAATCTCAGAGTGTCTAGCAGGAGATGAGGATCAAGGAAAAATAATCTGGAGAATACGAAAATTGGGGAAACTGAGGAGTGGCCAGAATGGTAAGACAAGAACCAAAAGACACTTGGGCCATAGAAGCCAAGGAAGAACTTTACTTTGAAGGTATGGGAGAAAGAGGGCAAATATTGATTCATTTGAGGGTGATAAAGATCTAAATTTTCTTTAAAAAGGTATGTGAGTCTTAAGTATGTTTATAAGCACAGGGAAAAATTCTACAGAAAGGAAATAGGAGAGTGAGATAGAGTGAGATTTCTGAGGATACCATGGGTGATGGCCTCTAGAGGACCAATGGAAGGATCATTCTTAGACAAGAGGAAAGAAGGAGGAAAAACATGTAGTAGAATAGCTAGAGAATTGGTAGTTGGCAGAAGAGTGGTTGGAGTTAAGGGTCTAGGGTGAACAGAGAAGAAAGTAACCCTAGAAGTACCAGGAAAGACTGTTGTAAGAAACTGGAGGAGGTCAAGGAACAGGAGGACTGGGAGAGAAATAAGGAGAGAGGCCACAGGGTAGGCATTGTGGACATCCAAGTTTATAATGTCAGCATCAGATCAGTGATGAGATGTCTTTCAGGTTGTGATCTTGATTGCTGTCCTGGAATGGAAGTGAAGATTGTAGGAATTGAGGTCAAGCAAATTTGAGGCTGTGTTATCAGATTATCTGATATACCTACATTCAAACAATGTAAGAGTGATGGCAGAGATTTGTTAGACAGGAAGAGTATGAGCCTTTGGTGAATGTTGGGGGATTTGGTAGACATTAATGAAGAGGCAGAAAGGATAATGTGCCTGGATAGCATGAACACAAAGGAAAAGTAGAAAAGAATAATAAAAACATTTATTAGGCATTGTATTAGTCTGTTTTTTGTGTTGCTGTAACAGAATACCTGAGACTGCGTAATTTATAAAGAACAGGGGTTTATTTGGCTTACAATTCTGGGACAGCTGTATCTGGCCCAGGTGTCAGGCTGCTTCTGCTCATGGCGGAAAGCGCTAGCTGGTGGGAACAAGCAGATCACATGGCGAGAGGAAGGGAGAGGAAGTGGGGGGAGGGGAGGGGAGAGGATGAGAGGGAGAGGAAAGGATGAGATGAGATGCCAGGGCCTTTTTAAACAACCAGCTCTTCCAAACCCTATCAGGCATATGCTAGATACAAGCTGTGATTTTAAGTGCTTTCCATGTAGTAAATTGCTCAATTGTCATAATTACACTAAAAAGTTTGTAGTGTCATTATTCCTGTTTTGCAGATGAGGAAACTGAAGCACAGAGAGCTGGAGTACCCCAGGATCACACAGTTACTGAGTAGTGGAGCTGGGATTTGAATACAGAGAATCTACCTCTGAAGTACATGCATTTTACTATAACACTATACCGCCCTTGCTCTTATAGGGTATGCCATAGAAAATCCTATAAGTGGCCTAGAAGTAGCAGTGGAAACTAGGAGAATGCCTCTTTTCCCACATCCTAATTTACAGTGAATGAGAGAATAAGTAGCTTCTTGTCTAGAGGGATTCAGGAGATAATTCAGGAGATAATTTAAGGCTATAAGATAAAGAGAGAGTTTTCGGAAAGGTTGAAAGGCACAGGGAGGTTATTTAGAATGGAATGGGGGCTATAGGAGGGTGCCTAGAAGTGAAATGGTGGGGAGAGAGCAAGCAAGAAGGAAATAAGAGTAAGTAACAGGTTAGATAACCTGGAAGGTTGCAGTTATTCCAGTGGCTAAGGATGACAAGGGTTGGAGGCTTGTCAAGGCTAATGGGGCTGTTGCAGGCAGATATGGGTTAGAGGTCTAGATGGTGTCAGGGACCTGATGATACAAGGGGATTTGGGCTTTCCCTATTTTCATGATATACACTCCATTCATTATTGTATTATTGTTAAACTTAGTTTAGAAAGCCAAATCCTGTTCTTATGTCCCATCCAAATAGCTGTTTACAGCACTTGCCATAGTCTTGTCTTTTCTAATTCACTTTTGACATTGTCTTGGTTCTACTTGCTGTCTTTCAGCTGTTTTATGATTTATTGGGTAAATGAAGTGCTAATTAAAGAGAATTTTGTTCTTCCTGCCTTCAGTTGCTCAGTTTATACCTTTAAACATAGTTATCATCAACAGTATTTTGGCTTTTGCTCTTTGCTCTGTGTTGCTACCACATAGATCTGTGCAGATGGTCTAATTTAAGTATTGCTCTCCTCTTATTTGGAAATCGGAAGCAAAGGGCTGCAGAATTTCTAGGCATTTGAGCAGTTGGGCTGAAGTTTATTTAAAATAAATTCTTGCATGTTATTTAAAACCCTTGTTTTAAGTAATGGCATAGTGGAATCAATTAGGATCATTTAGATGTGTTTGAATCACATTTCTCTACTCATTAATGATAAAATTATCTTAACATATCTGTAAAAGGTCAAAACTTTCTTTTTTTTACCCTTTAAAAGTAGTACTTATTTCTTAGAGCCTCTCTGTGAAAGGTGCGAAGTAGTACTTATCTCTTAGAGATGGTATTAGTATTAGAAAGACCATACGAAAGCATCTAGTGTAATGTTTGACATGTGGTAGTAGCTGTCATAATCCAGTTCTCTGTGGTTATTGCTTGAATTTCATGTTAGGTATTCCTGTTGCATACTCTGAAATTTTCCTGTTCACTTCGCAGCTCTTGAAATGTTACTGTTTTATTCACTCCCATGTTTCAAGTTTGAGTACCCAGAATATTAAAATCAGTAGATATATATTCCACATTTCATCTGTTTGTTTTTCCTATTTGATTCAATACAAGAGGGTGATGGGTGGTCAGGGTATTTAGCTGTCTCTCATGTTCTGGGTATATACTTCAGATAGATTGCATACCACACAGCTAACATGGTACATATGAGTATGGCCTCTGGACTACTTGGTAAGAAATCATCCAGCACTCTGAAGTAACTGCTGCTCCTGGTTATAGTAATATATTTTCCCTGCTTGTCTGAGTTTCCCTTATACTTGTTTCTTGCCACTTCGCATTTCCTGATTTACCTCCCATGAGCAGAGACTCATACTTGTTAGCTTTTTTTTTTTTTCCTTTTTGTCTTTTTCCGTGTCCGGCAACGGATCGCAACCCTCAGTGTCGCGCCCGTACCGGACCGGGACCGGCAACGGGATCGCAACCCTCGGTGTTGCGGCCGGGCTGTATGTGGGATCCGAACCCTCGGCGGGAGCGCCACCGCGCTCCCCAGCGGCGCCCCCTAGCAGGGCGGCCCCAGGCCGGGCCCGGCCTGGGGCCGCCCTGCTAGGGGGCGCCGCTGGGGAGCGCGGTGGCGCTCCCGCCGAGGGTTCGGATCCCACATACAGCCCGGCCGCAACACCGAGGGTTGCGATCCCGTTGCCGGTCCCGGTCCGGTACGGGCGCGACACTGAGGGTTGCGATCCGTTGCCGGACACGGAAAAAGACAAAAAGGAAAAAAAAAAAAAGCTAACAAGTATCGGGCCGGCCGGGTGGCGCACTGCTACAGTGCGCCGCTTGGGAGCGCGGGGGCGCCCCCGCGCTCCCAAGCGGCGCACTGTAGCAGTGCGCCACCAGGCCGGCCCGATACTTGTTAGCTTTGATAGTTGTTTTTTTACCCCTTTTTTTGTGCCCTGTTCTTTCACTCGTCATCCTCCTGGTTTTGATTCACTTTCTGCTCTGTCATTTTTTTCTTTCCCCTTCTCCTCTTCCTCCCCTTCCTTCTCCTTTTCCCCCACTTCCCTTTCTCTCCTCCTCCAGTCTGTCTAGAAATTCTATTTGAAAGTAGTGAGTCTTTTTATTTTAATTTTTATTTTTTTTACTAACAGATGGCCTAATTTTCACTGGTAGTGAATGGGAATCACTTCACAGCCCATTCAGTCCACGAGGACAGTCATGTCTGAAATTAAGATACTTGGAGAGTGCTTGTATGTATGTAGCTATTTGAGATTTTATCTCTGGAGTGTAGTATGTGTATAGTTGTAAAAACCAAATATGTTCTAAAACATACCAATCTTTATAATGAAGTTGTTATTCTTTATCTTTACAGGGATTTGTGGAACTGACTATATTTCCTACGGTTGCAAACTTAAATAGAATCAAGTTGAACAGCAAACAGTGTAGAATATACCGAGTAAGGATCAATGATTTAGAGGCTGCTTTTATTTATAATGATCCCACTTTGGAAGTTTGTCACAGTGAATCAAAACAGTAAGTTATATACTTTAAAAGTTGATATTTCTAACAGTTTTTGATGTTTTTTTAATGAGTGGATTTATTTTTTTCAACAGTTTTTCTTAGATTATTATTAGACTGTAGATCCCCATTTTTTAAGTTATAATTATTTTTTAAATTATAATTTCTGTTGCTTTTACCACTCTACACATTTGATTCAAGTGATTTTGCTAGCTAGCTCTGTCCAACATAGTAAGTTATTAAATTTCCCTTTTTCATAGTACTGTTTTACAGAAGTATTATTTGGGAATTTGAAATAGATTTTCTTAGCCATTTTCCTGCTTGTAATTTTTTTAACTATTCATAAATATTAAAAGTAATTTTCAATGGGCTAGATGGTCACCGTAATCTATAGACTAGAGACTACTTTAAAATAATTCTGTAAAATATTTTGACTGCTTTAAAATATCTTGTAAAAATATTGTGTCTAAAATGTCTCATTTCTTCACCTTAAATAAAGATTGCATCTATTTAGGCTACTTATTTTTATTAGTAAATAAATATTGTGATCAGTTTTATGTTCTGTTTTTCCATTTAATCCTTATTTTGCACAAAATTATTTCACAATTTGTCATTTTTACGGTCAGGTAATACTTCATTTACTCAGTATACTGCAGTTTGCATGATTATTCTCCAGTTGTTTATCATTTGTATAATTTCCAGCTTTTGCAGTCATAAGTAATGTTGACTGAATTTTTTGGCACAGTTAACTTTTCTTTCCCCTTTGAATTATTTCCTTAGGCAAATAGGATTCCTTATCATTCTTATGGCTCTTCTTAGTGTTTCACTTGATTGTACCCCAGTATGATTTATATTAATTTAAATACCGTCAACTACATTTGAGGGCACTTATTTTTTCAGAGCTTTGATAGCATTGGGTTATATTATTTCTGTGATTCTTATTGTTTTGGGGTAGGATGTCAAACCTTGATCATAAACTCTTTTTAGTCAAGATGATATTTTAACTAATTAGATGTATAATAATTCTTTAAGGTTGCAGTTCTCAAAATGCTTTCCCAGATAAGCAGCATCAGTGTCACCTGGGAGCTTGTTAGAACTGCAAATTCCCGTGCATTACCCCAGAGCTCCTGAATCAGAAACTGGGGTTGGGGTCCTTCAAATTGTATTTTAACAAGCCCACCAGGTCATGCTGATACAGGGGGAAGCTTAAGAACAAGTGCCATAAGGGAATGCGAGGGTTGAAAGGGAGGCTTATCTTTAGATACATTTTTGATCCCAAAATCATTAGTTTAGAATCTTTTGCACTCAGAGAGGAAATAAATGCTGTTGGAAAAATTCACAGAATTCCTGAATTGCTTCTGTAACTTCCCATTTCACAAAGATGAGTTTTTGAAATTACATTGCTTTTACAGCCACACTTACAGAGCTGATATAAAAAGACTTATTACATAACCGTCTGCATGCCTTTTCCCTTAGGAAAAAAACAAAAACCATTTATTTGCCTTTGAAGTAGTAAGTTTATACCACTAATGAATGGAAAAGACACCTGTAAAAGTGCAAATAAGGGACCCATTGCCTTTGCCAGAGGCTCAGATTATCTACACTATCCATCCTAGAACCTCGCATTTGGTAATAGGGTAAGAAGTCTGTCCATCTGCCTGTTACAGAACACACAGTATTTGCATGTATGCTTTATTAGTAATTTGTTGCTGCTGCCCAAGTCTCAAGATAATCTGTTACAGTGCAGTGACAGGAAGAGTAGGCTCCTAGTCTGGTAAGGAATCTAGCTTTACTTTGCTATGTTTATTTTGATGATATCCCCTAAAATTTTTTTCTAGTGATATATGGAAGGTGCCTCATCACTTTTAGTGTTACAAATAAAGAAAAGGAAGTCATAAAGGGGAATCTTTTCAAAGGTTAGGTTAGGAAATTGGGAAAGAGAATATATTTAAAATTTTCTGTCTAGCTACAACCAGAGCTCTGTTGGCCATGGTCACTTAGTAAATGCTTGGCTAACTACCCATGTTTTTTTCCCTTGCTCTAGAATCTTGGTTACTCTCTAAGAGAGATGACATCTGTTATTTTTGCTGGTGTTTATCTATTCTCTGACTTGTTCAAAAAAAATATTTGAAATTGGTTTGAGAGTTTTATTAGACAAAAGTTTTTAAAAATAGCTAATGAAATTAGCATGAAGGATTAAACAAGTATAGGACGGTGGGTACCCACTGTTAATTTACTGCACAATTCCCAGAGGAAAACTACAGATTTGGTTCTAATATTTACGGTTTCCATAGCAAAGAGGGAAGCAGTATTGTTTATAAGATTCATAAGACACAAGACACAAACACACCAGTTATTCAGAAAAAATGTTACTTTTCTTGGTAGTTGCATATGAAAAAGGTCTCTCATGGATGACATTATTTTTAAAGCAAATTTCGGAAGCAGTATTGTTTATAAGATTCATAAGACACAAGACACAAACACACCAGTTATTCAGAAGAAATGTTACTTTTCTTGGTAGTTGCATATGAAAAAGGTCTCTCATGGATGACATTATTTTTAAAGCAAATTTTGGGAAAGGCAGATAGATAAGGTCTTTATAGCATGTTCCCAGACACTTCTGTTTTCTTTCATGTTTCTCAAATAACTGTCCTTTAATGAACCAATGAAGTTTCCAATAAAGCTAAAACAGAAATTAACTATAACAGTTTTGAAATTTAAAAATGAGAATTGAAATTCAATGGTAAAATTTGATCTTTGATGCCTACAAGAATGTCCTAATACTCAAAGAAGTAATGTACTACTTCACATTTTTTCTTATCTGTTTAAAGTTAATGTGTCAGGTCCTACTATTTTTGATAGAAAGAGTATGCTTACATTGGTTGAAATTCAGCTGCTTTGAACTGTAGAGGGATGTAAGGAAAGGAAACATTTAGATAAGAGACTAAAAAGCATTTCTACCTATTTTATTCATCCAAATTTTAATTATTATATATAAACACAGCAAGATGTGTTAACTATAGCACAAACACCTTCTTGTTCAGCTAGTATATAGTCTAGTGCTATTCTGTTGTCTAATACTATCTTTGTAAGAGAATTAATTCCCTCTTGTTGGGCTGCTAGTACCAGTGCAGTCTCCTTGGCAAGCATCCCTAAAGTGGGAGAAAGGTTCCTGACCATGTGTTCATGGGTTGCTGTACCCACCAAAGTAATATGGTTTGCTTAGAAAAATATTCTGCTCCATCTTCCTGATATGTGGGTAAATAAGATTTTTTAATTCTAGAAAAAAGTTTTAAGAAACTAGTCCAATGCTGGGTTTCACTGGAATTGTGGAAGGAAATAGGAGTAATCAAATTCCCTAATAAGCAGACTTTTCCCATTCTCAAACTATCAAGGCATGGGTAAGCCCAGGGTTGGTCCTTTGCTCACAGCAAAGATGTATTACCTAGGTGCACACATGATTCCCCTCATGTTATAGAAATTGATTTTTGTCCTTTGAGGAATACTGTTGGTAAAGATTGGCAAACCAGGGGTCAGTATTGGGTATTGTCCAGGAGGTCTGATTCATTTTACATTCATAAAGATATTGCTGTTCCCTTAAGATACACAGTGAGTTTTGATTTCTTATTTTTCCGTGAGCTAGAATCAATATAACCCACATGGTTACTGTTGCACTTTTGTTTGACAGAGTGTAGAGAGAGTGGGGCTAAGAACCGAGTGCCATTTACTATGCTATTAGTAATGTTTTATTTATTTAAGCTGTGGTTATAGGCTTTGGTATTGGTGCATGTGTCTCCTGAAACTGTTACTGGGCCCTCTATGGGAGAGGTTAAAAAGAGTAAGTTTTCCCAACTTAACCAGGCGTGAGACATTCTTATCATGGAGTTATCCTTCCATTACTGGGTGAGTCTTATGAATCCCACTCCCAAAAAGATCGTTACTTTGAGGGTAAGAGTAAGAGTGGCCATTATCTATATACAAAACCATCAATTACAAGACACAAGATAAACTATACAAGAAAGTTTCATAACTATAAAATGGGATGGGAAATTCACACATTATTTATCTTAGTGCTTTTTCTTGAAAAGTGATTTCACGTCTTTGGCAGGTTCTCAGGAGTATTCAGGTTTGGAGAAATCAGCATTAGGTTGCACCAACTGTCCAGTTGTTGGGATGGGTCTGCTGATGGCTTCTTCTGCTCTGTGGAGGATGTGCCCTGTTTGGGGATTAAGAAGAGACCAAAGAGGATCCGGATTAATAGTAGGAAGGGAGTCTACTTGGGTGTGATGGAACCATGGCCTAACTCCTTTTCATGTGATGGGAATAGACTCTGGCATAATGTACTGAAGCTTTATAATCTGTCCAGTAAAACAAGTACCTTCATTATTGGAAATTTCTCCAGAGATGCCTCATAAAGGAAACATGTCTTCTAATAATTTCTTAGCTACTGTTATAACATCATCTTTCTTACATGGGAAATCCTCTATTCAATCAGAAAACATGCTAATGATTACAGATATACCCATCTGTATATGTTCCATCTATATATGTTCCATCTATAAATGAAGTCCATCTATAAATGTTCCAATGGTCCTGAAGTTTCTGCTGTCTCCCCAGAGTTATGGGTTTGACAAACCAATTATTAATTATGAACAATTTTGACAACTTTAGAACAGTCACCTCACCAATACTTTTTCATAATTGGATGATGTTGCCTTTTTTGTGACGGGTTGTGGAGGGTGTTTTTATAATGAATTGCTTTTAACAGTGGAAGCTTAAAGATCTGTAGTGGACAAGGCGGCCATCCAGGCCCTTTGTGAATTCATGCCCACGTTGGATTTTCATTCTCTTGATGCCAGTTTTGTTTCTCTGAATCAGGTGTGTGATGGTTTATTAAATAGATTATCATAGGGAAGTTGACTTGGACATATCTTATGCATTTCATTCAAATTGAAAATCTTAACAATTTTAGTAATGGTTGGCTTTGCATAGAAGCCTGTCAAAGAATTTCTTTG